GATGCTGATTGAGGTCGGACTCCTTGGTATCTGTCACTGTTTTTCTGTTCAAGAAGAGCACGTTCCGTAGACATTTCTTCAACTAGAAAAAAAGTCGCTGAAGTCGCCTTTATTCTTCGACATCTAGGGCTATCTTCCGAGATGCTCGGGACTCGGCTCTTCATGTGAGGCTCGGCGCTTCATGTCCAAATTCCAGGGGCTTTTCTTTCACTTTTGTTATTAGATCTGACGCGGTATTCTGCTACCTACGCGTTGTTCTGTTTCGTGAACCAATGATCGTCTAGCACAGATACTCTAGCACCCATGAGGCATTCTATCTGAGATCAATCACTCGGCTGACGCGGTGATATCGGATAGTGATGATGATCTTAAAGAACAGTAGGCGGTGAGCGCCATATCCCACGACACTCCCTTTCTTTCCACCGCCACCATGCTGTGGCTACCACTTCTTCTGGCAGCAGCATTTATTCTGCATCGAGTTCTGAGATTCTTGGTGTTGTTGAGGGTGAGATGCTCTGCGCCAATACACGGTGAAGTAGCTTCTGATCAGAATTGATAGCGTCATAAAAGTACGAAGGGGTGCAGACTATTGTTCGACCCGTTTTCGTTTCCTGGAAATGTTATCCCGACGACCTGGTGGAACCTAGGCTTTAGGTGGACTTGGATTTATCGACGTACAGGTATGTAACATTTATCAGCAAAGTTCCTCCCGCTGAAAGACATCAATAAGCGCACTTCGAGCACGCATACGATTTGACGACGATAATACCCGTTTTCGGGAATCCTTATTACGTAGGAGCGTCTGTCGATATTGCCAAGCAGGTCTGGGGCAACGAGTTGAAGATGAATCTGGCGAAGCCACAAGACTTCACAACTGAAAGGTGCGGAATGGCTGGGTGAATGATGTCGTCACTTGCTTACCTGTGTTTTGTGTAGAATATTTGGAAGCAGCATCGCTTCAGCTCAGGGTGCCGACTGGAGCAGGCATCGTCGAGCCGTCGCTCCTTCATTCAACACTGCAATGTATGATGGTGTGAAGTGTGCGTGGAATAAGCTGACCACTTGTTATATAGGTACTCCAGAGTAGTTGAGGAATCAGATGTTGTATACCGCGATATGGTCTCCAAGGAAGCATGGGAGGAGAAGAATAACGTTGTAGTAGCCGATCTGGACAGGATCCTCCGCAGAGTAAGCTCATAATCCGCAGAACTCCTCAGCTGACTCTAATGGAGAATCAGTTCGCGTTGGTTATGATATGTCGCTGCGGATTTGGAATGCCGGTGGAGTGGACACAAGGGAGAGACCACTCCGAACTCTCCACTTTTGATCGTGAACTGTCTGTTGCTGCCCGAACGATTATCCTTCGCTTGATACTTCCAGGCTGGGTGTGGAAATTGCCTATCCAAAGGTGAAGACAGGCATTGTTATTCTCTGAGAACCTGTCGCTGAAGATTTGCGGGTTGCTAGTCTTCGTTCTATCTTGCAGTCATGGAAGAACGTGCTATTCCTCATGACTAGTATCGCCGCCAGAAGACAGACTGAATTTGCGCTTGAAAAGAATTTTGGTGACGGAAATATAACGGACCTGTTGACGAAGCTGGTTTCGGCGACTGATGACGGGAACAAATACGCCTTGGAACCTGCGGAAGTGGTGAGTATATCTTCAATCAGAATCTTTTGCCATAGCATATTCTTAATTCTGGGAAACGTAGACGGCGGACATGATGGCACTCCTTTTTGCCGGAAACGGTGCGTGTACATTTTATTTCTTGATAGCAGTATTTGATATCCGGTGACGATGGTAGAAACCACGAGCAGTGCGCTATTTTCAACAATCACGCTTTTAGCTTTCCACCCCGATGAGCAGGAGAAGGCATATCAAGAAATTCTACGTGAAGCCCCATGCAAAGAAGGCCTGGTACGTGATTATCCTTAGTTATTGAACCCTCATTATCTCTTGTTCCAAAGAACCTTAGTATAATCTCTAATCTCAAGCATCCTTTCGCGTGTTTCAATGAAGCTCATCGACTCGTCCGTGCGTCAATTCACTATCTACAAACAATTACTTGTGATCAACCTTATGTGGGATTGTAGCTGCTACCATAAACTTACCCAGAGTCACCACAGAAGATACGCCTATCCACAGCTTTCGGCCAGTGGAAAGGGATTTGATCATTCCGAAGGGCTCGCGAATTGTTATCGACATCGTGTCCGTGCGTGAGTTTATTCCCGCCAGTCTCGAGTCCCGACGGGCGGCAAGCTGATCTCGTCCATTGAAGTTCACAATCCACACGACTTTCCCGAACCAGAGAAATACATCCCTTCGAGGTGGTACGATGCCACAGAGCATGATTTCCTCATGTTTGGCTTTGGGCCTAGGGTGTGCCTTGGCAGGAGATTCGCTCAAACTGAGGCTGTGTGTTTCCTTGCGCATTTTCTGAGGGACTGGAAGGTCGAGGTTGTCCTAGAAGCTGGAGAGACAGCGGCACAAGCGTGGAATAGGATTGCGGCAGACGCTACTCTGCGTGGAACCGCGTTTTCCCTAGGGTCTGTGCCAATCAAATTTATCGCAAGAGACTCAAATTAAAGATACCGATGCATCTTTTCACTGCACGGTGGTCTTGATATTTGAACCTCAAATATTGAATTTGAAAGATCTTTAATTTAATCATGTTTGAATCTAAAACACAGTGAAGAAACTTTGAATGAATTTTTGATATTTAGGAAATTTGCCTCAAAACTCAAGAAAAATAGGAATACTGAAAAGATATTTCAACTATTACTTCAATATTTTGAGTTGAAACATTGCAAAAAATTAAATATCTTTCAATTTCAACATTTTCATCTTAAACATCAAAGCTATCGTAGTGTTTCTGTACTGGAAATAAATCTTCTGGCGAAAAGAAAATTTTTAACTTCTTTCTTTCCTTCTCGAGCTCCGAGTCCAATCATCTCGGAAGCGGAAACTCGAAACTTCGATCGGGACGCTGACTAAGGTAGATCGGTGCCGCGGCTGTGTATCTCCCAAACATATCCAAACTTTCACGGCGCGTCAACGTGATTAGCTTGGACTTGCTTCTTGCCATCATGGGCGACGATACAGCAGGGCCCGCTTCCTCCTCCTCCCAGCGAAACGCGAATATGGGCTCACAGTTATCTCGAGGACCAACTGCAGGGCCATCTGGTGAGATTACGGCATTCTGCGGCTGTCCAACAATGGGATCATTCATTAATTATTTGCTTAGGCACACGAGGAATATCACCAGGGACGTCTAGTACTGCTCCTGCACTCAAGCAGAATGACGCTGGTATGCTCGCTGCGCTGATAAAGTTGTGCTTTAGCTCACCATTCGGTAGGCGTGTCGCATACAAGCACCCCACTGAAGTCTTCGCAGAAGGCGATTGTAGCGACTCCGACAGCTGCGAGACCGTTTCCCATGTCGCCGCCTTCCCAGTCAGTGATGCTGGACCAGGACGAGCTGGACCTTCCCCCCGCTATCGAAAGCGATGACGATGAACTGCCGTCGGTGTTGCAGCTGTCGCAACGATTGGCCCATACACAGCCTAGTTACACCACGCTGAAGGGCGAAAATCCAGTATGTATGCTGATTACTTGGTACGATTCGCGTCCTGAGTCCATCCATAGGAATCGTCCATCTCAGCCAAGTTTTTCTCCCCACCCAAACGCTCTCAGTCCCAACGATCACCCAATAAAGTCCCATATGCGCTTTCGTCGCCTTATATCATTTCTATTGCCTCTTCACCTGCTAGTATGCCCAAGAATCGGAGTCGAATTTATGGATCACAGAAACGCAAGCAAGACGACGGCGATCGCAGTTTCGCTGCTTCTGAACAGCCTGCGAAGAGGCAGAAGATCAAAGCTGCGAGGCGCCCCACTACACATAAACACCATGATCACTGGGAGCTTGATGGGAATGTCGTCATCAGGATCAAGAACACGCTTTTCAGGGTGCATCGGGGCGTGGCGAAGCATAGCAAGTGGCTCTCTGAGCGGTTTGAGGAAGAGCCGGATGAGTTTGAGGGGAAGGACCCGGTGTTCGACGTCGGGGAGGATAATAGGGTCACGGTGAAAGATTTTGAGGCTCTCTTGGACGCAATGGATATGGCCATGTACGTTCTCTTGCCTCTCTTCTGTTTCGCTGCTGACAGCCTCCTAGCACCTACTGCTATAACCCTCCCGACTTTTCGACCGTTGCGTCCATATATCGCGCCTCCAAAGCACTCTCCTTCGATCGCTTTCTAGCCTGGGCAACACGCTACCTCGAAGAAATGTGGCCGTCCTCCTTATGCAAAGTAACCCTCGACCCAATCAGCCACGCCTCCGACACCGTCATCCTCGCGCGCGAATGGGGAGGCCTCAAGAGCATCCGCAAAAGAGCGCTGTACGAGCTCGTGCGCCTCGCCGGGTTCGGCCAGGACGATGATTCAGACGACGACGAGTCGGAGCACGGCCGCACGGTGATCTCTCCGTCCGACTACAGGCTGCTAGTCCGCGCGCGGGAGATGCTCACGTCCGCGTGGACCACGCGGGTCGCTACGGCGACGTTTGGGGTGGAGGGTGGGTGCGCGGGGGGGTGCACGGCGGCGGATGTGGGGTGGGTGGCGTCGCGGCACCAGGAGATGGTGGTTGCGTCGGGGCTGTTTGAGACGTTCTTGAGGGACCCGGTTTGTGGGACGCGCGCGCTGATGGAGCTGGATTGGGCGGGGGTGGGGGGCTATTGTGGGGGGTGTGTGGAGCGGAGGGGGGTGGTGTGGGGGAAGGCGAGGGAGAGGATGTGGGAGGATTTGGATGTGTGGTTGGGGTTGGATAAGTGCTGATGGGGATGGGTGGGGGGTGATTGTTGTTGTATTTGTAGGTTCAAATGTGGTGTGTGTGTTTAGATTTTCGTTTTATTACTGTAGTACCGTGCGGAGGATTACTATTCTGATGTGGCGTTATCACTTGGAATAATATTCGTTTAGGTACCATTAATGTTGTCTCCCTCTTAGCTCAGTTGGTAGAGCGCGTCACTAGTATGTCACTATGTGGAGATATTGAAATGCTCAGTCTATGACGAGGTCAGTCGTTCAAGTCGGCTAGAGGGAATCCTGTAGATGATATTCTTTTTTTTCCCTCGGTGTTCAGAGTTCTAACTAGGGCTACGCACGAAACCTCCAGGGGGCGTTTGATACCGTTTTGTACCCACCCTGCCTGGGGGGTTTCTTACCGGTACGGTAATTTACAGTTTCTTAGCGGTCATGTGACCATTCACGTGACCACCGCGGAGTCATTTTTCCAAATTCTTCTGTACGACGCCGTGATGCTACGCTGCCCCATTGTCATACCTCAAATACTCATGAATTCTGTCCCAATACCCATCGGAACACTCAGACTCTTCTTACTTATTACTGCTCTGCGAAGTGAAATCATAAAAAGATTGTGGAAATATTGTCACGTGGTCGGTAAGTTACCTCAATGAAATATGCTCCACTGACCTGTGGTTTCTTACCAGTTTCTTACCGGTAACTTACCAGTCCGAAACCGGGGTGTATCAAAACTGGGGGTTTTGTGCGCAACCCTACTGTTCAGTGTTGGGTTTTAACTTTTGGAACTGGGAATTTATATATTATGGCAGTGACCAGTTTTGGAATTTTACCAACAGGCAGTGTTTTTTTGATTCGGTAACTTACCTGCGTGCGTGTGTCGAAGACCGGGATGCAGAATATGGATGGTTTTGGACGGAGTCGTACCTTTCTTTGACCTCTCAGGTGGTTTACGATTTCATTATCCCACAAAATGTGTTAATTCAAAGCAGCTCGACTTGATATGTTTCATGCCCTACTGGTGACGAGACGGATACTATTTCTTAACTTATCAATAAAACCTGTCGTTTCCCGTAACGCACCCGCAGCTCCATCTCCTCGGACTGAACAACTCCGTTGATATTCCCGACGTGAACCCCAGGATCAAACCACTCTGGGAAGCGAAGTAGGTAGTGCATACATACAATTCCCTCTGACAGCGTCTGAGAGTTTTTTGCGTACCTAGGTATTTATACGTCCCTAGATAAGCGCGCGTCCTACAAGTACGTGAGTGAGTGACGCATTCGTCACGGGGGAAAACGCCACAAGCAAGCCCTGCGGTCCGGACTCCGAATTCGCTGTTATCGTCCGCGGGCAGGCTGAGCTCGCTGAACAGGGCCGCGTGCGGATGCGTGGGGCCATTCCTGGACGTTGCACCCTGTGCTGTCGACTTGCAGCAGAGGTGCAGACTGTGGAGCGGTGGCGTCCCAGGCTAGATCGTGGCTAGATCTGCGTGTGTATGTGGGTTATCTAGAGAGGGAAAGGTCTAGGTCGGGGGCAGAAAGTGGTGTCACTCGACGAGCGCCCTCCACCAACCAACGACGGCGGACCCGCCCACGGACGAGGTAGCCGTTAGTCACCCCAGCCCACGTCAGCGTCATTTGACCCACCCCTCGGATAACACGTGAAATTGCCTATTTCATAAGAAGGTCTGGTTTATATTAATTAGCCTGCAGCCACAAGGGATCTTGTCCTCCCCCACCCCTTGCATCCCATTCCAAACAAAACAATAATGCTGAGACCGCCCCCACCACCCATCCACCTTCCCTTCCACTTTGAGCCACACAATAACAACAACGGCCGTTATTATGACGACGACGAAGGTTCGTTCTTGCCTTGCTTACTTTTTTTGCTACCCACGCTGACGATTGGATGCCCCGTCCTCGCCCCTCGCCCCTGTTCATCCTCCCGTCTATAGATGAGACGCCTGAGTACCGGCTGAACCTGGGCGCAGAGACGCCAGGAGAGATGACGCCGTCGATATCCTCGTACGCCTTCGCGTGGGAGCGCCCAGGCTCGAGGACCCCCGTACGCAGACGGTCGCTGTCCAGCCTGCGGAGGAGCAGCAAGCCGAGGAGGGATGTCGTAGACCGGGACTGTGGCATCTGGTGTGTCTCCAGATTCCGTCCCTCACCACTAACCGTCTAACCCACCCGTCCAGCTTCGAAAGCGCGGTAGTCCCCTGTCGAACACTCTGCTGTTCAAAACTGTTCTGCTTGGAGCACATCGCTGACGTACGTGGGTTCCCCCGCTAGTATTATCTTCGTTTGCTCATCTCCAGGCTAGTGGCTGCACGGTTCGCGCTCTGACGGACGCTGCCCATCATGCAAGACCCGCTGTACACTGAAAAAGGATACCATTCTTCTCCCCGTGCCCCATCTGCACTCTCCTATACCCCCAACGCCGCCGCCGAGTCTTCGCCTTCGCCCCAGGAGCCCATCGACATCCGGATCTGAGACCTCGGATGTGGGATCGGAGGAGAGCGAGGACTCCCCCGACGTGGACCATGGCTACCACACGGACACCCTCGATCTGTCGGGGACCAAGGTTGCCAGCAAGATCTTGAGCATCGTGGGATTGACGCTCGTTTTCTATGTATTGTTGACGTGATTTCCCATCTCTTCATCTGCACACACACACCCTACTCCATGGCATTGTTTTTCCACCTTTCTAATTGTTGTTTTGGTATAACTCCTGTTTTTTTCCCTGTCACTTGTCGCATTGTGTAATAATACCACGGGATCGAATGAACATATGTACGAATACAGCATGACCTCCCGGAACATCACTTGAGCATCTCGTTGGACCTATCACCGGCGAACACATCGCGGTCTGCTGGCAAGGACATAGATATCGCGAAGCACGAGTTGTCTTGGCGTAGCTTCCATGACAGGACCAGAAACGTTAATCAGAGCAGCAGACCGGAGGTTAGTGATGCACCATCAGCCACATGCCCTGATGTTACAAAGACTGGAATAGCACCCCCGCCCGAAAGCAAGACGAAAAGAAGGCAGTACGTTCGTAAGATGGCTGCGTCTAATTGATATCCAGAAACAGGAATAGCACCCTTGCGAGATCTATTGAAAGGTTGCGCAGTTCGTGTGATAGAAGAAGCACAGAAGCGGGACCTGGGTATGTGTGCTTTGTGAATATGCACACGATCGCTTCTTGTGTAAAAGGCCCGGCAGGCAGATGCGGGGACGAGCGGGAAGAGGGAAGAACAACCTACCATTGGAACGAAACCTCGTTCTCGCTCTCGGACTCGGAGGGGTCGGTCAATTTAGACTGCAGAGCACGGGACAATCAACCGATCAAAGATCCCGGTAGGCATCTACGCGAGCCCGGTTGATAGCAGGAATGTTTAAACTGCGAATGAGAGCGGTCCCGGCCCCCCACCCCAAGTTGCGAAAGAGTCAAGACCGTGGCTCTAGAAGACAAAAATATTGGCTTCATCACGATCGAAAGTGGGTTCCGGGGCTGGTGAGAGTTGATGGGTATACCTGACATGAACGGGGTGACGACGATAGCGGGAGGAAGGAGAGATGATGGAGACCCGGGACGCTTGCTGGTAAGCGGGCCCCTGAGATAGTATGCGTCATGCTAGTTGTTGCTTCGGTGACGCTATGCAAGCCCGGGCCGAGTGTTTCTATTTTTCCCACTTTTCCTTGCCCAGGTTTCAGTTGACGAAATCTGGAGAAAGAAGTAGCTGCTGCCAGTACGCGTGAAATATGCATACGACTCGGATCGCTTTGAAAAAGGCCCGGCAGGCAGATGCGACTCGGAGCGGGAAGAGGGAGGGATGGAACGGTTTAGAGTAAATCATTAGAACGAAACCTCGTTCTCGGACTCGGACTCGGAGGAGAGGTCGGGAACAGGGAACGGGCCGGCCATTTTAGGCTGTAGAGCATGGGACAATCAATCAAAGATGGGCATCTACGCGAGTCCGGTTGGCAGCAAGAACAGGGCTCGTGGACTGTGAATGAGAGCGGCCCCCTCCAAGTTCCGAACTTTGTCGAATAGGAAACTATGAATCATGTTCTTAACATGGATTTTCGCAACTTTTTAAGGAAGGAAGTTTAGCCAATACCGCGATAAGAGAATTCAAAAGATCCCTGTATATAGCCCGGAATCAAGTTTCAAGGACTAGATTGAGTCTGAGCTGAGGCGTTGGGCGAGGCGATACAGGCTCGTTCAATCCAACGAATGATTGATCAAGTCAAGATCTCCGAGTCAGTGGCTCTGGATGCTCGCGCTTGTTACGTGATTTGCTCTGACCGAATGTGTGTTCCGGTGCTGGCGAGAGTTAACGGGTATACCTGACATGAACGGGTTGACGACAATAGCGGGAGGAAGGAGAGATGATGATGGCTGGTAAGCGGGCCCCTGAGATAGCATAGTTGTTGCTCCGGTGACGCGATGTCAAGTATGCAAGCCCGGCGAGTGTTCTATTTTTTCCACTTTTCTTGGGCTTAGTACTCGGCGTTGACGAAATCTGGAGAACCAAGTTTAGATTTCTGTGCAGCGAGCTTTTTGCACCACACTACTTGTCCGCATTTGATCGAGGGAATCTTGTTCTTGATGCTCGCGAGCAGGGTAACGCAAAATCGAGCGTTGAGAAAGCACGAAGCACACTTTTTTTCGTACAAAATTAGTACTTATGACTCGAAAAGGGAAGGATCAGAGACTCGGCAACTGCCGCACCTGGGTATGTTTCCCGCTTAGTACGTCACGAAGTACTGCTTGACCTTTACTACTTAGTCAGCTTTGTTTCTCTCCTCGACTGTCCCGCTTACTCTTTGACGTTCTCTCAATATCGCTTGATCTTCATTCCGGAGGCAGTTCTCACTCTCTGACGCTGCGTCTATCCATTAAAAGATGGCGAGTCAATCCCAACAATGGTTCGTAGGCTCAAGAGCACTGAGTTCTCTCGACCAGCTGTGATTGCCAAAACTAACTAAGTTTATGCTGCAGTCGGTAGAGTTCTTCCGCGATGAATCTAGACGTTGTTGGTCGGACTGGATGAACTGTCGATAATAGATTCGATGATGTTTGAAGGGGCGCTGCTTCTGGTAAGTATCACAATTCTCCCCCCAGCCTCATTTTGGATACGATAAAAGTGTTTTCGATCTCCGAGACTCGAGTCAGTGGCTCTGGATGCTCGCGCTTGTTACGTGTTTTGCTCTGATCGTATGCGTGTTCCGGTGCTGGTGAGAGTTAACGGGTATACCTGACATGAACGGGGTG